AGCACTCTCTTGAGGCCGCAGAGTCCCACCACCACCCCCCAATAATGCACCGTCCCCATTGTACTTCAATGCCAAGACCCATCAACCATTGCTTTTGGATGGATGAATATATACATGGATGAATGGATTAGGGTTGGTGTTTCTTCATTCCAATCCTCTTCACCCCCTCCCATGCTTGGAGGTGCAAGTGAGTAGAATTGAGTCACCACCATGATGAAGGGCTTGCTGCTTGCATGGTCCATAATAATGCAATAACTCATTTGTGGTCTCCAAAATCCCCATCCATGGATGAATGGATGAATGGATGGATGAATAAATGAGTGGTCTTCCAATAAACCAAAAATAGGTATTTACATATAAATATTTTATTAGTATTAGTATTAGTATTAGAGTTGTATTAGTTTTTGAGTTTTTGTGATGTTTTTTTGTGTGGGGTTGGGTGAGTGTAAAGAAGAGATTGCAAGAATGAACTGGAAAACTTGTGCCTCTCTAAGAAGCATAAATATGCTATTTTCTCATGCTTGATCATGTTGAAGATTGGGGTCAAAGTAGGAGAGAATGTTTTCCTCAGTAGTATAAAAAATAAACCCAATGAGTCCCCTCCTTGTACCATGTCATGAAGTTGACTAACCCCACAACCTTGAATCTCAATGACTACTTTTCTTTACATAAACACATACAGTTCAGCCCATACTGTTGTCTCTCTCTGTGTGTGTGTGGGTGTGGGTGTTAGAGAGTGACATTCAGTGTCTCCAAAACTGCAAACCATTTGAATTTGGCCTTTAAGTGATGGATGAGTCAACCTCTTCCTGTTACCATATGTTTGTGTCTACATATACACACACACACACACACACACACATACATACATACATACATACATACATATTGTATATATACATACACTATATACACTATATATACACTCTATACAATATATATATATATATATATATGTGTGTGTGTGTGTGTGGAGCAATGAAGGTGTGGTCAAAAGCATTGAGGGTCAAAAAGGCAGAGAGAAAGAGAGAGAGAGACATTGGGGGGGAGGGAGGGGGGTCAAAAAGGCATTCCATGGCGAATCCATCAAGGGTTTCAACAATGGGTGCCACCAATCCATATGGAACAGTCATCATCACCCAAGGCACACACCACTCCCCCCTCCCCTCTCTGCAATTCAGCCCCACCATCCTCTCTCTCTCTCTCTCTCTCTCTACCAGCTCAGCCCCTCCACCCCACCAGCTCAGCAACCCCTCTGCCCGTTCCCTACCTTGCCTAGCCCTGCCCGAGCCCCGGTCCGGGCAATATGCGTTGACCAAATTAAACGACCAACGTTGACAGGTGTACGACTGCTGGGTTGACCGGCGGGTATTGGATGAAGAAAGAGGATGAGTCGAGAGAAGATGAATGAAGTATGAACGAATGTCGGACTCTCTCTGGAGTTGGATGCTTGATGAATGCTTTTTCTCCTTCTCTGTGTTCGTTCATCCAGTGAACCTTGAACATATTGGAAGGTATTCATTCATCCATTATATTCATCCAATGAATGTCCTGTCCTCTTTCCAATGGTGAGTCCAATTACATTGATAAACAAGTGTCCTTAAATAAATATATATATATATATATATATATATATATATTGACAAACATATGTTTTAACAACATTGCAAAATTACGCTGTATTCTGCACAACTAAACATATAAGTAACCAAATGTACTTTTGTTTTTAATATTTAAAATATTGAGAATTTAGTTTATAATTTTTAAATTTTAACTTGGTTCAAATCTAACATATTTGTACACTGATAATGACTTGCTATTAAATATTAATAACAAAATAAATCTTGTTCAAGCACATCAATTCAGAATTACTAGAATTTTGTTTACTATACTTGCATACTAGTGATCATGATTACATTTTGTATTAAAAAGATATACATTCACACACATATGTATGTATGTATATATATATATATATATATATAGATAGATAGATAAATATATATAGATAGATAGATAGATAAATATATATCTATATATATCATCCTTTCCCTTTCTTTCTTTTTAAATAAAACCATACCATCAGTGCAATGATAAACTGAATATTTTTTTGCAATAAGACAATTGACTCATGATTGTATATTTGTCGATTTGTAAAATTTACCAGTAATTTTATATGTGATTATATATATAATTATAATTATAATTATAATTTACCAGTAAAAAATTGAAGTAAATATAATTGTTTTACCTGTACATTATATAGTATTTAAACAACTGAATTAGTAGCAAGCTGTAATATATATATATATATATATATAGATATATATATATATGATTTCATGACAATATTTTCACATTTTAAAACTCTTTACTAATCAGGCTAACTATTAAATTTTACACATTTGGTAGTACATAATTTATAATAGAGTGTCTTATGTTTTAAAATATGTACACAAAAAACACATAGAAAGCAGTAATATGGGATTAACACACAAGAGTTAATTGACTACGAAGTTTTAGTTAATTCTTGAATGCAAGTGATAAATGCATAATATGCATAAGAAAAATATTAGAAAACATTACATTTTTTTTCTTCTTTCCTTCAGTAGCAACCATATTATTAGACCCTATGCTTTTATTTTCACAATCATGAAAAATCATGTGGAACATAGATATTTTCATACTTGGATTTCAAGTGTTTATATTAATATTTTTGTTGTTCAATATTTATGCACTATATTGAAAAAAATGTATAAATAGCAATTCAACATTTTCTAAATATTTGTATACATTTTCGAATTTAAAAATATATAATAGGTTTTCAATAAAATGAAGAATTTCTAATAATCAAGAATGGTAAAAATCAGGAAAATTATTTATTTATTTATGTATCTTTTTGTTTTTCTGGTGTAAAATGGCTTTTTAATCATTCAATAAGAATCTCAGGTGCTTAATGTTTAGAATTATATGTATGGTAACAATTTCATTTCAGTAGTTCTACAATATGTCACTGAATATTTATTAAATTCCTTACTTTTTCACATGAATAGAAAAAATTAAGTCCCTTTATTTGATGATTAATTAAGACATAGATTTAGAATAAATTTGATGTGAATATAAAATTTTAATAGAGTTTTTTCCAATTAACCTTAGTAATTTATCTCAATATAATATGTGGATGGAATCAACTAAAATTGTTTGATTTTTATAAGATGCATCATCTACTCTCAATACACACAACAAACTTTTTATGTTACAAAAGTATTGCATATAAAAATCATTCAAGAAAAATTTAGTTTTCGTTTAAAATTCAAAGCTTACTATTTGTTAACCTGTTTAAAAATGATTACCTATTAGACTTCATTTGGTTGTTGAGAATGTAAACTTTAGTGTACTTTCTGACATTCTTCTCATAGACAATAATAACAGACTTATTTATGATTTTCTAAAACAACCTGAAATATTTTGAAAGGTAAATTTTGTTTTTTAAATTTAAATATAATCTAAAACATTAATTTAAACATAATCTTTATACAAGTATTTTTTTTTGTTAAAAAAATAATTGAGATGAGATAACAATTTTTTTCCAATTCGGCTTAAAATCCAATTATTTTAACATGTTATATTTACTATATATATATTTTTTATAGTAAATCTACATTTGTTTGGTTAGAAGTGCACATGCTCTTTGTTTCTCATTCTATGTAGAGAATTATAAAATGTAACAAAACTTATGGTATGTGTTGTTGCAATACTTGCTTCAATACGACTTCGATTCAATTAGGATATATTTGTAAAACAAAAATTTCATGAAATGAAGCTGTGCTAAAATTTGAAAAAACTAAAGCTGAAAAAAGAATTTATATTATGCTAGAATTGTGCTAGGGACATTATGAATCCAATTCTGTTGACCTTAAGTATAATTTTCTAAAATATAGAAGAGCCATAAAAGCTTAGTATTGAAATCTAATATGTTGCCAAATATATTTAGGAAATATAATAATAAATATTTAAATAATGAAGATAAATACAAAATACATAAATAATCAAGTTTTGCATACGACCCTAAAAATTCAATTTGTAGTTAATTCAACCTAACAAATTATCATCCACAAGGATTGAATTTAAAGGATAATGTTTTGCCTTCTTGCTTGTTACTTGTCCATTGCAAGGACATTAGACTAGCAATAAAGCAAGAATTTTGCATTAAAGAAAGAAATTTAGTTTGGTGTATTGGTTGCTAAACTAATTCAAGCTATATACAATTTTTGAAAATATTTGATTTTTCCTTTGGTTACTGCTACCTATGGATTGCCTTTCTTTAGATTATTCTAATCACTTTTGAATTTTAAGCTACAAAATTAAACCATCAAGTTGAATTTTTTTGACTTGCCTAAATTATCATTTACAAATGCTTTGATTTTAAAAATTCATTTTCCTTGGTGCCTAGCATGGAAGTTGATTCTTAATAGCCATACTTCTATTGGTCAAACATATACTTTATCAATCGAAAATAAAATTTTAAAAATTAAAAATAGAGCAAAAAAATTATCTCTAATATACAAAACATATCATCAAAATTTACACAAACATCTGTAAACAATATATATATATATATATATATATATATATATATAGTTCATTCATGTTTGGCCAATGAGAAGGCTTCTCAATGTCTTTAGTTTATACTTAAGCTCTTTCATATTATATATAATACATATGCTTATATATGACACATAATTTATCAGAAGTATAAATTAATCTCAAGGAATACAAACATATATCTATATATATATATATATATTCAATGGGACCCAACTTTCCAACAGCACCACCACAAAGCCACGAAAGTGAGTATGCATTCATCCATGCATCCATGATTATTCATTTAACAATGGTATCATCCATCCACATCCATGTTCATTCATCCGTCGGCTCATCATTCTCCATGCCTGCGACGCTCATGCAGCTGAGCCGGGGGGGGACCGTCTACATAATGCGGCGGAAAGCTTCGCCTCGAGTTGCTTCGCTAGAAGAAAGGGGGGATCGAGGTCGCCAATGCTTCAATCTACACATCACGCAACGTAACGCCACGCAACGCAAGCCCCGCATGCTGCCCATCGCTTGCGTTGCCTAAGAAGGGTTAGACCGACAAACCAACGGAGCCCCGAGAAGGAGGAGTAGGAGGCTGTCAACCTTGATTTGATTGTTTCCAAGACCAGACAGACATCACGGTGGTCGTCGCTGTTGCGGTTGGTTTAGAGTGCTGGATTTGTGAGGTCCAGGCCCGCTCGTCGCGCGAGCGTGAGCACTGGTTCTGTGTTTGCGTTGTGAGGGTGGTGTGGTGGGAGGGGGCGGAGAGTTGGTGAGCAATTCTGTGTTGGTTCGGCCCCCTGTGGTAGTGTTGTTTACCGCTGCAGGCGTTCAATACCAACAGTGTACGAGACTTGAATTTGCTTGGCTCAGTGAGGTGGTGGATTGTTCGCCTGCGAGTGGTGAGATTTTGAAGATAAGGAACGATTTCCTGTTGCTTGCAGGTGGTCTCTGTTCGCGTGCACCGCCTGATCAAGTGATCTCCGAATTGGGGGAAATCTCCGTTGACTGTTCCAGTGTCGTTCCCTCAGTTGATCTAGCCAAATTCTAGACTTGCGTTGCGCTTGTAATTGTATGTTGTTGCTTTTCATGTGTATTTTGGGAGCAAGTGTCGCGAATACGTTGATTTCAGACGAGGTGTAGAGTGAGGATAGTTGCAGCTCAATCAAACAGTGCACTGCAACTGGGTGTGAATTTGAAGTTGAAGATACAGTAGGTGTGTACCCAAGTAACCAGTCATGCATTTGCCGCTTCAGCACCAGGCCCGTCTAGCCGGCAGCTTCGACGACGAGAATGAGGAGCTTGACGCTCAGTTGCAGGCGAATTCGGCCTCCCATTCGCATTCGCACCACTCACAGGAAGACGACGCTTCTCAGTCCCAAGGCAGCAAGGGCAGTGGAGGCGACGCCGCTGTTCCTGATGGTGCCCCGAAACCCAAGAATCTCCCCTGCCCACGATGCCAGTCCATGAACACCAAATTCTGCTACTACAACAACTACAGCGTCAACCAGCCACGCCACTTCTGCCGCAATTGCCAGCGCTACTGGACCGTGGGTGGTACGCTACGTAACGTCCCCGTCGGCGGCGGATCACGCAAGAAGCACAGTCGCTCGCGCAGCCGCAGTGATCCTTACTATCGTCCCGAACCCAACCCATCCCACGACTCCGACGGCGAAATGGAGCAGATCGGCAACCCTCTCCACCCTGGCCTTGCTGCAGCAGCCATGGCGGGGATCATCCCCCAGGACATAGCGAGCTTACATTCTGAAGCTGGCTTTCCAGATTTCGGCGAACTTTCAGAGGCACCTTTCCATCCTAATAAAATCTATAGTCTGCTCCAACTTGCTCTCCTCCAAAACGAGGGCATGTATGGCATTCCAGGGATGCCATTTACGGTGGGGAATCCTGATCATGAACAGGCAGAACTCCATCAGCTCTTCCAGGGGCAAGCTGCATCTAACCCCGGCAATCTTCTGACCGCTGCCGCGGCGATGATGTTCATGCCAGAGCTTGACCCAGCGGCTGTAGCCTTACTCCACAAGGCCACGCTCTGGGCCGAAGCACAGCAAGTGCAAGCGATGGCGAGACGACAAACAGCGCAGTCGGCTCCCCCTTGGGTCGAGGAGCGGGAATGCAAGCCTACCGTGAGCGCACACATGAACCGAGAGATTGCCGCCATGGAGGAGCTTCGTCATCGTCAACAAGCCGCTGCGGGGTCGCACAGAAGGCCAGGTTTTTGGGAGACGGCCCTGATGCACAGCAGGCCGAACAAGCGACAGGCCTGGGACGGGACAAAGCCATCGCTCTCTCCCCCTTCCGTGCAGCACGGTAGCGCAAGCACTGTTGACGAGGAGTCAGGAAACCCTGTCAATGCTTCCGGTTTCTCACACAATTACGACGACACTTCGTCATGGGGTAGTGCAGGCTTTCATCCCGGCCCGGACTTATATTACCAGTAGATCGATGATGGCAACCATTGCACTTGTCAAAGTGTCTTTGTGGTTCAGAACCGGATGCCGACGTTGCTCGAGGTCAAGCGGGGAAGTGAAGCTCGTGTACGATGCTTGCCGGATATTCATGGACGGGGATTCATAGTTGGTTTTGTATATAGCTTGTGTTATGTACATATATGCCCTTCTGCTGCATACATCGACATAGAGTTCAGAGTTGAATGATCTCCCCGAGACATGATCATGTCTGCTCGTGCGTTACGAATCGATACGGTGGTTGCTCATGCTTTTGTAACGCGTGGAATTTTCAAGATGAGATTACAGCGATCGGTAGTGTGGATATCTTGTCCACGACGAGCCGATAATGCAGAAGAGGCCGTTGGACGGAACAAGACAGATTGTATCTTCCGGCGCAGCTAGCGTGGACTGGGCGAGTGTAAGTTTGACATGACTTGGTTTCGGATTCTCTGACGCAGGAGGTTGTGAATGAATCCACCTTCCCGTGGTGAGTTGGAATTTTTGATCTGGAAAAAAAATGATTGTACTGTAGTAGCTTTTGTATCTCAATTTTTAATGCTTAACAATCATTGCACCATCTCGCTGTTTTCCTCTTCGCTTTTCTTTCTGTTTTGCTTTCTCCTCCTTTCTCACCTTTCTAATAAACAGCATAAATGACATTTCAAAACATCTTGAAAGTATGAGTTATGAATTTAAAAAAAAAAAAAAAAAAAAAAAAAAAACTTCAGTGGAAAGAAACGAAAACATAGGCATCTATTAAACCGTCCTTCTGCTTTATTGTAGCAAAGGTCCAGTAGCATTTAGGGGTTTTAACTGCTAAATACTGTAGTTGCAGTAAGATTGTGATGTAAATACCACTCGAAGTTGAATGGGAGATACGCTAGTATGTCCTTGCTGTTCATGCCCAATTCAACACACCGTTCATCAAGTTCCATGTTGCCAGATGGTCCGTGCTCGTTTCCTGTAGCAACCAGGTCGTATATGCCATTCTTGTCACCTTTTTCACCCCACTAATTGTGCATAAGAATTGCATGGTTGATGTTGGTAAGCAGGCATCTCATCGATTCGCAGTCCTGCGCAGTTTCAGGTCTCAAAGGTCACACTGCCAAAACCATCACCGTGTCCAGCGCTAACCCCCTCTCTTCATTTATCTAGGAGAAGTAAGGATTTCCTTGTGGAAAAGTAAGAGCACGTTTCTTAGTGCTCGGCTCCCAATTCCTCCATCGTCCACCGTCCCACTGAAAATATGTACGACAAAGTCATTTGACAGCCTGATTCTTTTTGAGTTTTTCTTAAGAATCTTAATATTGTGTTATCTTCTAAATCTGAAAATTCCTGAGCAGTCAGTGGTGTGTGAACTGAGATTAAAATAGTCAAAGTTTCAGATTTGACGGTGTCTGGGTAGACCCTTAGGCATCACACTGGTGAAAAGAGGTATGAATAGGAGGGAGGAATCCGTTGTCGTTCTTCTAAGGAGCATCGTTTCTTCTATTTTCCAAATCTGCGCGGCAGCATATTTGAATGATTAGGTTGTTTCAAGTTTCGTGTAAAGTTTGAATTAAAGGAGTCAGTCGAGCCGCTCGTCTAGGATGAAACTTACTTATTACGTCTAGAACTCGTCAGGCTTTCTCTACATTTACGACCCATCTCAGCTTGCAGTATGCAAACCTAGGGTAGAACGCCTCTGCCCCCACAATGAGAGCGCCACCCAATCCTTCGAAAGAACTGAGAAATGAACTACGAGCACGACTGCTAGCTGATTATATCATGGTGCATAGTAATTGGCACCCTCTTTTTGACATGTGCTCACCGAACTGTAGACACTGTTTCTTTCGACCCGCCCGAAATTGTCAAAGACAGCCACCTTTTTTCGTGCGGATTTCTCACCGGAGTTGTGTAGATCTCAGCTGACATTTTAGCAAGTACCCACAGCAGCGAAGTGTGTACATCCTTAGACACACGTACAAAATGCACCAGCTTTTAATACAGAACGCCGTTCTAATCAAAAGTCTGACTGCACTTTAGAAATTGCGGGTGACGAAAAGTCAAGGACATTAGTAGTAGAGAGGAGATCCTCAGTTACCCTCAACCTGCGTAACACTATCCCCATCATCTCAGTGAGCAACATTGGCAGATGACAAGATGTAAATGTGCTGGAAATTGAATATGTTCGGAAGGAAATAATTCACAATGAGCTTGCTAACATGTTGGTCGAACCGCCTCGTGGTCAGTGGCAGCCTATTACCGATTTGTAGGGATGAACCTCCAGAATATTTGCAAGCTCATTCTTGAAGTTAAAGATGATGTTCCCGGCATGCCGTTTATATCATAACAGAAGATAAGACCTGTACATCATCCCTCAACTACTACTCCACAATTTAGTGATCATTTGTAAACATGCTGCCAACAGTGGGACATGACACAGAGTGTGTTCGAAGCACAGTGATTTCAACACAAATAAACAAACTCTATCTCTTTATCATTCAAGTTGCAACCTAACTGTGCTCCAGGAATGGCCCTCTGTTGCTTTACGCATGTGAACACACTTTGTTAAAATCGAGCACCCTCCAACTTTCGATGATTGATGTGAAGGTGTAGTCATTTCTTGGTTTGAAAGGCATAACCTAAAGCTATCACAGAAATCTGGTCTGGAGATAAAGTCCGAAGTGGAACAGTAGATTCAACATAGTCAACAACACGTTCTGCTTCGCAAGACTTGAAAACGAAATGAGCTTCTAGATGATAGAGGTGTACTAAATGTGCAATGGAGAGGTTACTGTAGAGCACGTCTAGCATTGGCTCATCAGCGGTGAACATAAAACCGAGTATTGACAATCTCTGGTTAAGCTGCAGTATCTCTGCATCGAGTTCATCCCTCGAATCTTAACCGACTCATCTGGTAAACACTTTACCGATATAAGTTGAGTCTGATAATCTCTTCTTATGAATTCTGGGCCACATAAGCTCTACATGAAGCCAGCTACCAAGGGCCCTCAGGCAGCAACAAAAGAGCTTTAACCAAGAAGACTTCAGCAGGAACAACAACCACCATTCGATCTGCTGCTGAGCAACACTCTGTGAACCAATTTCAAATTATTTCGACGACGATGCGAGACTCAGCGCTTGGACTCAGAAGGTGTTTCTTCAACTCCGTTACAGTGACGAGCAATTTGTCCTGTGAAAGAACTCAAAAATTCCTTGATGTTATTTAAGAACTATTGTTTATAATAGATCACAAACCTTGTGTACAGAGGCAGGGCCCCATGCCTTCGCACGGACGACAAATTGATAGTATCCCGAAGTTAGACACGCCACCTGATCTTTCCGACCATGATTGCTTCATGAGAGCCCTTCCACTGGATGAAATCTTCAATTATTGTGGAACGCAGTATTTCCACTCCAAGTCAGGCTACAGTTCAAAACAATTGACCTCGTTTCAACGTCACATAACACCCATTGCAAACTAATAAAAACTTGGAAACCCACCTCTGAAAGCCGAGGTTATCACCTTCATGAGAAGCTTTGCCGTGGTTTTAATCCGTGCATTAGCTTGAATGGATACCGCGAAAGTGACCTTGAGACGTGAGAAACAGTTCATCAGACACGAACTTATCCCCTCCAACATAAGATCTCAAATCCTGATATTCAAACCGCGCAGATTCACCGCAACTTAAAGCTCACAGAGCAAGTCGCTGGTCACCTGTGACTTACTTCCGTGGCAATACCAGGTACACTCTACATAATGAATAATACACGTCCCCCTTTTTCTCCTCGTGGACGCCACTTCGTCAACTACGTAGTCGCACTTCCGATGCAATTATTCTTCAGTGGTAGCGGTGACAGTCACCCGGTGTAGAAACCACCAGACTCCACAAGAACTTCGTTGAAAGCGCACTGCAAGTTGGGTACTAGTATCCAAGGGACGCAACCATGAAACGGCTTATTCACACCCTAACTATTCACACAAACTGTATCATCCAAGTCCTTCGAGATGCTGCTACCTCTGTCTCTGCCTCTGCACATGATTCGTGACAGTCAAGCCTTCCCCACTGAGATCGTTGTCAGTGCGACCCGGATCAGACAAGTCTCAGAAACAGACACAGCCTGACAGACACACCGAGCTAGTGTTCATTCCACCCCAACTAGGCATTCATTCCGATCCGTGACTGTAAGCGATCCACCCGCTGCTTATTATACATATTGCACGAAGACGGCGTATTCATGCATTGCCGCGGTGCCACTATGTGGAAAACGAGACCATGTGAGGCAGACCCAACTGAGACCATGTGCCCAAGTAGCCAGCCTGGTTTAATGCTTTGTTTTTGTTTTTGTTTTTCCATCTATTATATTCTTGTTTGTGATGTGGGTACTGTCACCTGTTTTGCTGCTCGGCGGCTGCTAGATCCGGCGATGGGGGTGTTTGCTGTTTTGTTGTGGCTACTGTCGGCGGATCAACAGCTCTGGAGCTCGTAAACTGTGGGACATTGATAACAAGCCAGAGATCATTCTGCTGTTGAATGTTGCTACACCATCTTATCTGTTCACTGACAGTGTTTGTTATACATGACAGGGAGGATGGCTTTTGTGTGAAGAAATAAGGATCATTTGGTGAGAAGTGGCGTGACCTGGGGCATTCATTGGTCGAAAAATTTCTTTCTATTTTATTGATTTGAGGAATGAGTTGGTGTCTCCAGAGGGACATTTAGCTTCAGTTTTACAAGAACTATTCTCAAAGTAAGAGAACGGTAGTTGCAGTTTACAGAGGATGTTTCCGAATTAGTTAATGTTCACAAGAGTTGTTGTTGCAGTTTTTTTGTTCAAAGATGAATCTTTTTTATTTGTCTGTAATGATGTGAAAAAAAACATTCATTTTTTTCTAAAAATATAATGCATGAATATTCTTAAAATATTATACTGGTCATGATTATGATTATAACGAATGTATATTAATTGAACTTTAGGTTTGTTTGTACTGATTTTACTCATGATTTAAAAAATATTACACTAAATATTATTATAATAAAAAAATTATTCAGAATTCTATAAGACATTTATATTGAGTTGAGACCAGAATCAAATGATTCACAATTCTAGTTTAACAAAAAAAAAAATAGTTCCAATTTGCAACCTTCTAAACATTTCTTTGAAGTTTTCTATGTCTTCTGCACGATCCATCACACTATAAGAATGTGTTTAAATATTTTTTGAAAATATATTCAATAATTATGAATAGATTGTACGTCATTCTTGCAAATCAAATATTTATGAATCTAAAAATCTGTTTCCGAAATCGTCGATATTTTACAAAATGAGCTTCGAAAAAATCAGTACAAAAAATATATATCTCAGCAAGAACTTCAATATTCTGTCCAACTTGAAATACTTATCAGTAAAAACAAAAATAATTAATTTCAAGTAAGATTCTTAAAATATTATATTTTGTATACATTACATTTTTTGTGTAAATTTTACCATTGAATTCATTTAAAGTAATATGTCAAATAACATCCTGTACGTTATGATATTTATAAAAATATACATAAGAACAAGTATCTCTGGCTTTGTAATGTTTATTGCAATTTGCCTACAAATACAATAGATTTACGTTAATAGAGAAATGTGTTTTAAGCATGAGTGTAACCAACAAGAGCAATGGCAAGTTCTGTTAGTACTTGAACTTGAAGGAGCTTAAGAATATCTTTTTCTGGAGCTCATGCAAATCCGGCAGTAAGAAATTGACAAAAGCGCCTTCATATTTATATGAAATATATTATTCTACAAAATCTTGTTAAAGATATTCAACCCCCAAAGAAGTTGGTGGTAGTGTGGAAATTGCTAGTGCACTTAGTGCAGAAGGATCTACGTCAGACTGTAGGGGTGTTGGATCTGGCAAATTGTAAACAAGTTGAGTCCAAATGTTATCACTCATGGAACAGTTTACCTTGATTTTGCTGCAGTCCCTTGGTTAGTTCAAATAAATGGCAACTGAAATGTTCCAAGTTGGGTTACATATGGTGAAGTTCTTCTCAACTCCAGCAATCTTTATGAAATTTGCAAGGTTTAGATACAAGGGAAAATATTGTACATACCCCTCAAATATGCTGAGATATCGAGAATATCCTTGTATTTTTTATAATAGCAGACATATTCCTGAGATTTGTGATAATAGTAATTGTATCCTTGTTAGTGATAAGTTATCACCAATATTTCTTGTTTACTTGTCATCTGAGGCCCAGACAAGGATGTTAGTACAATTCAAGTCCTAATTTTTCAAAGAATAGCCAGTTTAAACATCCTTCAAGTTTGAAACAACAAGAATGCATTGGCACTAATTTGTGCTCTTTTGTTGTGTGCCCTAGCCTAATCATGTATCCAAAGCTTCAGTTCTAGCTTTAAAAAGAGAATCATGCTAAAAGTATCATAATACACTTGCTTGCATTTTAAATTATAGAAGTGATCTTGTCATCTACCATTTTGTGTAAGGATCTTCTACCAATTGTGGTCTCTATAAGGAATTGGATTAGGTGCTATTATAAGAGGTAGTTCACAACAGAGAGGATGTCCATTGTATAATTTGCAACTAATGTATGGATTAAATTGTAAACTTTGTTGCACACAATTCAATTTAACTACCATACTAGATTAACCAAGTGCTTGATATGCATAGATGGTTTAGACCAATGAGTATGAAGATATAAAAAAAACACTTATAATCCAAGTTATGCCAACACTGTTTGCATGAAACAAAAATTATAAGTTGCAAGTTTTTCTTTCGTTGTACATGCAATTGTTTAAGAGTCATGTGCTTAGGCTCTCAAAATGGCACCCTCTTCATAGCCAATAAGAATGCAATGTTGTTCATACCACCAACTCAATGTTGGCAAATATATGATGATAGTCTATAGAACTTTAATTTAACAAACATGTATCATGGAATGCAGTTGGAGTAATTTGAAGGCATAATGTAGATATTAGGCATATGTAGCATTGCAATAGAGCAATGGATAATAAACAATAAATGTTGGTGATAACTTATCATCAATTAAGGTACATTTTCTATTACTACAAATTTGAGGAATATATTTGCTATTATCAAGAATACATGGATATTCTTGATATTATAGCATACTTGAGGAATATATATGATATTTTTTCTAGATATGACTTATGCTTCTCATTCACACAAGTTATAAATATTAGGGTTGGTGTGGATTAGGATTGGATCTAAATTAAGGTTTTAGCTTGTTACTATTTGTTAATCTATGACTAGGTTTTTATTAGTACTCAAATTTAGAAAATCTCTTTGATATGTATCGAGAATATTAAATATAGTTGACACTCTCTATAACTTTTATTGTAGTTACAATAAATACTATAGCTATAATGTTTAAAATATAGTGGAGAGAAACTATTTATCTTCTCTCTTTTTCTTTATATACAAGTAAAACAATCACATCAATATATAGTTTTGTTTAGAAGCTCACTTTCCTTCTGTATACTCTCTCTTCTATGTATGTATGTGTGTGTGTATGTATGTATTTTTGTATATGTGTGCATATTATTTTTAGCTACTCTTATGTCTCTTTAAAATATTCTCAACTCATTATTACCAAAACTGTTTCTATGTACTACTCTTGGTTCTTAAAAACTTGTGTACAACTTGTCCTATACCTTCTTCTTATTTTTTTTTCTTACATTGTATGACCTTGCTTGCTTGTAACTTACTACGTCTTGCTAGTTGCGTCCTACCAACTATTGCTACTTTTGCCTATCTTCACAACCCTACCACCAAATTGTAGTCCGTAGTCACTGTTGCCATCATTCTCAGCTGTCATTCTCGTTGTTTTTTATCATTATCTACCATCACTGTCTGCTATTGTTGTCACTATCCGTTGTAGTCCATTGCAAATCTTTATTTTTGTAGAATATATATATATATATATATATATATATATATATATGTATATATATCTTCTTAAATTTTTTAATATTTTTGATTTCAAATTCAGCTTTGTTATTTTATTTGACTTTACATTTTAAGGTGAATTTTATTCAACTTTTTTCACTTGATCTTATATTTTTTTAATAGATTTATTTATAATAAGTGCTTCAACATCCTCAATTGCCTCTACTATGTTTCCAACTATCACCACTATATCCCAATATTTTCAAGCTTTTTTATTTCCACTATTGGATGTTGATGGAAATAATTATCTATTATGGATAAAAATGGCAAAAATAAATTTATTTATAGAACAATTCTTGGATGTAATTTTATTTGAAGAATCTCTTATAGTAAGTACTTTTATTCCTATTACTATTTGTTGAAAAGTACTTCTTCTCCTTCATTGTCATCTTCTATTTATATTATAATATCAATATTTGGAAATGGGAGATCTAACCAAGCTTTGGAAGAATCTTAAATATAGGTTTGATCATCAAAAGACCATTTTCCTTCTATGTGATGTCATGATTGGATACATTTACGTGTCTTGGATTTTCAAAATTTAAATGCTTTCAACAATGAAATATATTATATTGACTGACAACTACAGTTGTATGAACAAAGCATCTCTAAAGAAGAAATGATTGAAAAAATTCTCTCTATATTTCCTCCTATATCTGTTAAGCTTGCACAACAATATAAAAACATGAAATTTCAAAGTCATCTTGATCTCATGTCTTATCTATTTCTTATGAAGAAATAGAATAAACTACTTTTACATAATATGGAAGCTCATCCTATTGGAACTGAAATTCTAAAAT